GATGGAAGGGAGGGGATTGATAGTAAGAATAGGATGTTTGGTATGTTTTGTGATGATTTGGGAGGGAAGGAGAAGGAGTTAAGGAGGAGGGGATGGGAGGGGAGTGATGATTTTAGGGGTGTGGAGATATAGGAATGGATGGATATGTAGTTATGTAGTTAGTTTTATTATAGACTGACTGAATAAACAAATAAATCAACGCGCGAACCTCCATCATTGAGTCTTGGCGCATACCAGCATCATCTGGGATCTGGATATCCTGTGCAGAGGGAATAGGGAGGTGCTTTGTTTTATAGAGGGATTCTGAGAGTGAGGGTGGATGGATGGGTCTTGAGAATGGGTAGAAAGGAAGTGGGTTGATTAAGGTCTGGTAGTGCGGCTGAAGGATGTAGGTGGCCACTGTATTATACGAGTACTGAGGTGCGGATGAGGTGGTAGAGTTGGGGGTCTATGAGTTCGGGTTGTGGGTAGGTATGTATGTCTAGACCTGGATGAATGAAATACCTCTCGATCGCGTGTGTATAACGTGAGATGTTATCTTTTAACATGCCAGTGCGTACGTACACGAAACTGTATTTCTCGTCAAGCTGTAAGGTTGTTACCTAGTACTTGCAACCTTGCGAAGTGTAAGGAAGAGCTCAAGGGTCAAAATCCTGGTTCTAAGATCATATCCATGTCGAAATCGAAATCGTTGAATCCGAAAAGTGGATCCAACGCGAAAGACATATCGGGATGTGTTTCGTCGAAGCTGTAATTGACTGGGTGTGATGAGGGATTGAGAGGACTGAAGCAGTGGTTGTTGATTGCCGCTGATGGTATGTCGTCTGATTCGGTCGTTGGGTTTGGAGGTTGGATCGGGTGCTGGGCTGTTAAGTTGGAGGTGTCCATGGCGCCTACTGTCTCAGGTGCATGTGGTTTCCTCGAGAGATTATAACTCGAAGGACTCTCGAGGAAAGACGATCTTGTATTGTCGCAAGAAGCCGAAGTCTCCTCGCATTCCGCGGTTCGAGAAACGGAAGCAGTAAACGCACCCCCAACATCGACTTTAAGCCGACGGACCAAGCCAAGTAGAATACTCATAGCTCGGCGCGGCGCATGACACACAACCTGATGCTCAGAAAGTATCTCGAGACAATTCCTCAGGCGCAGATGTGCTTTCGAGCCCGGAGGTTTTTGTGCCGCGGTACGAACGTGGATCGTTGCGCTTACGTATGTGGAGTAGGATATAAAGTATGGAGGCGATTTGATGCACCATTGTGATTTGTACCATTTTAGTAGTACGTCGATGTCTGAAGCTGCGGTTTCACAGATGGAGAAGGCAGCGCTGGTGGCGGACGTAGGGGTTGATTTGAGGTGACCTTCTGAGACGAAGGGGCGGTGGAGGAGGATGAGGAGGGCGTGGAACATTGATCTGTGAGTAGCGTTAACGATGCAATTGTAATTTGCGGGGTAATGGAGGTTAGCTTGCATTAGGGATAGGGTATGAGGAAGAACTACGCATCCGCTTGAGGTATTAGGACGACCAGAAGTATCGAAATGGATTGAGAGATGTACTGGCAAAGATTCATGCCATGTTGTAAGCTCACGGTGTAAGATCTGCGATGTTCGAAAGAGTTCCTCGGCATCTATTTGTGAACTTTTCTCCGCGTATAGGCTGTATAGTATGCGATCTGCAATGACACTAAGCTTGCAGAGGTGCTCAAAGGTTGAAACGCTATGAGTAGGCAGGCCTGCATCGCCAGGGGTTGCTGAGTAGCCCAATTTGTCGAAAGGTTCAAGTTCTTCGTAGTCGTCTAGGAATACCATGGGTACACTATTGTCCATGTCTCGTAAACGAGCTGGACGCCCTTGGTAGATGGCTTGTACCTTGTCCAGAACTGTTTGGTGTTGTTAATGTATAACCATATATGAATGATTGATATAATCTTACCAAATGCAGCCCAAAATAGTCGCCGATGTGTCTCCATCTCCTCCGGCGAATGAGATTTGGCAAGCATAAGTGTGGATTTCTCGGAATGAATCCCGAGGTCGATGATCATGTTAATAGCAATGCCTAGGTAATGCCACGAGAGACTTCTTTCATCACACCAAGAAAAGAGCGCGTCTGACATAATAAGTAGAGCTTGAACAGTCGTGATGCTACTCTTGCATAGGACCTGGGTCTCGGGATAGTGGAGGATATTGTCAACCTTTCGTCGAAATAGTAGGCCCGAGTTGCAATTGTCGATGCTATTACACGATCCTTCCAGTCTTGGCTCGTCTTTCGAAGCAACGTGTTTCGAGGCAACGAAGAAGATGGTATTCAAAAGTAGCGGGGAGAAGTGGGGGCCTTTACTTGCCATGTCCCTCATAAAACATGGCCGATATACGATCGACCCAGTAGCATGCTGGCGATTCCAAAATACCGATAAAAGGACCATACCGAGTTCGGGGTCGAGTCCGTCGAAGTTGAGCTTCCCTGAACGAAGATTGATGAGCTCCAGTTGGCCTAATCATGGTATGTTAACCAGCTGCCCCCGACTATCAAGAATGGGTTTAAGGGAGTAAGCGGAAAATTCAACATACGTTGCCTTGTAGATTCGGCCAATAGTTGAGCTCTTTGTGATGTATCCACAACAGCAATAGAATCGACATTCTGTTTTTCGAGTGGACGCTTCCCATCAAACATGGCACTCGTCGGTCCGTGAAATTGGGTGCCGTGAGAACCTGGAGACGACTTTATATCTGTAGACGCGTTCGTATTGTGGCCTCGATCTGATGGTTGAGATACATTGGTGAATTGCTTTTCATTTGATAAGGTTCCTCCCAGGCTCCTAGAAGCCAATGGCCCAAACGTGCTAGATGCAACGACCTGCCGTGCTTCATCCCGGATTCGTGGCTCTTGAAAACTTGGTACGGATTGCAGTCTCTCTAGCTCCTTGCGTAGGCGGACGTTTTCTTCCTTTAGAGTAATAATGCGAGAATTGGAAGGTCTGGAGCTGGCATGAGCATATTATTTCATATCCAAAGCAATGAGGAGCAGGAAACAGACCTTTCTTTCCGGATCCGCACACTATAAGAACATTCCTTCTGGTTCTCATAGCAGTTCTCGCACTTAGGCTTCGCGTTGTTACATCCCAGCTGATTGTGTAAGCCATTTGGCACAGCTGTGGAGAGGGTCGTTGGGTACCTTTCTCTGGCGACAAAAGTCACAGGCGACATCAACCCGCTGCTTCCGCCTTTGGGCTGCGGGAGGACTGTCACTGGACATGCCGCTGAATAATGCAAATACCGGTGACTTGAGCTCGCACGTTAACTCCACTTATGCTAAGAAGGCGTAGGCTTGAAAGCTTCAGCCTAATTCACCGAACAGGACCCCAATGGGTGCAATGATGCACGACGGACGGAAGATACACCACCACTTTTCTTCACTCACTGGGAAGATCACAAGATAAAGGAAGTTTGCATTAATCAGACTGGTGGTAGAAAGATTTCTCAGAAGACACTCGCGGAAGGTTTAGATCCGCTTAATAAGCGGAGTTGACTAGCAAATCCGACCCCCACTTTCCGACTAGGTTGCTAAGCGACAAATAAAGGGGGCATAGCATAGTATGGTGTCTCCGCTCCCTTGGGTTTTGAGATTCCACACCACATCTAGTATCGATCTCAACCGTTTCAACTATATCATAAAGTGAACGCGAATGAAGTAAATATGTTATTCTCCGTCGGTAAAGGTAGACTAATCACAGCTTTCAGGACTGTCAATTTACAAACTTCTTTTATCTGAATGCTATGTAAATACTGCAATGATATGGGTCGATGCTTTACCTTAACGACACAGCCTCCAATGTGCTCTAATCACAAGATTTAACCTTCAGTTCAAGAAAGGCCGTATTGTTTCCGCCGATTGTCGTAACAATTCAGTATAATATGCATCCGAAAGCACCCCAGAACCGTGATCAATAATAAACTGAAGCTGCTCCGGAAGAACATCCAAGGCCTCTGTTTCCAATTGCTCAGCACCAAACTTCCCCACTGGTGTACGATCAATCGGAGGCATACATTCGACGGCCAAGCCACCGTCGTAGCCAACTTCAGCCAACACAGACATAATCCTACTCCAATCGAAAGATCCATGTCCAGCAGCGAGGCGGTTGTTGTCCGCAACATGGAAGTCGATAATCCGAGACCCGCATGACCGAATAGCCGCGAAAAGATCCTTCTCCTCGAGCGCTATGTGGAAGGGATCAAATGCTATTCCACAGCCGTATCCGACTTCGTCGGCAAGTGCCAGCGCCTGGTCCGTTCGATTGAGAAAATGAGTTTCGAATCGATTAAGGGGTTCAAGCCCGATTCTAGAGTTCTTCTCTTTGGCAAGGGCTGCAACCTCGCGAAGACCCTCGACAGCCCATTTCCACTCATTCTCAGGCGTTGAGGTGGGAACGATCTTCCCTACTCTGCCTGGAACGATTGTCACGATCTTGCCTCCTAGCTCGGCGCACATCAGGACAACCTCTTTCATGTATTGAATTGTCTCTCTGCGTTGCTGCGGATTTGCCGCCGTTAAGTCTCGAGTTCCATGTTGGATTGTGACAGTTCCCCAGCATTTGATGTTGTATTGTTCCAGCAGCTGTCGAGTTTCTCGGGTCGGATAGATGGTCGGTTCGCCGGCTAGTTCAATGCTGGAATATCCTAGGCGGTTGAGACGCTTCAGGGTGTGCTCTAGCGGTTCTGGTCGCATCCAAGTGTGTGAAGAAAGGTGCATTGTGCGAAGGGTTTGGAGCGTTTGGTTCGCAGTCGTTGCCTGAATCCGTATGTTGAGAATGGTTTATAATGGAAAGACCGGGAGTCAAGAGCACGAACATGTACTCTCTTATTATACTGCGCAAAAGGAAGCACTCAGGCTGTGGGGGATGTTTCGCTCGAGTATGCGGAAAGTAGGTCCTTCCGTTTATTGCTAAGCGGAAAGTGGTGATTACAAATCGGCACCTTAATGTCAATACCCAAAAGGAAGGTCAACTTCCGCCAGGAATTTATATCTATAGCTGAAGTATCCATTCAGGGATTTTGAAAGCATCAATCCTATTTTCAGACTCCCGGAAGCAAAAGCAGATTTTACTTGGCATTACGAAGTCTTGTCACTTAGGAATAACAAAATGGCGGGTATTTGGCCAGACGACTCTATATTTGCACGCTTCACTGTCTTTGAAGAAACGTGAGTCCTTTTTATAGATTTCTTGCATTCAAGCTAATAATCATGCAGTTTCAAGACTGTTGACTCCCACGAGATCAAAACTGCGGTCTTGATACCGAAGGACCTCAAACCGGGTTCGCACCCCGTCATCTTCAATATCCACGGAGGTTTCCTCGTGTACGGACACTGTCTCTTCGCCCCCTTTTTCGCACCATGGACCATCAAGCTTGCACTTGAGAACTCTGCTATTATTGTATCCCCAGATTATCGCCTCCTCCCCTCAGCAAACGGCGTGGCAGATCAGCTGGAAGACCTCGAAGACTCCTGGCAATGGACACGCTCGCATCTGCCTGAAGTGCTTGAGCGTCATGCTCCTGGCCATTCGGTCGACCTTTCTCACCTGCTTCTTACTGGTGGCTCAGCGGGTGGCTATTGTGTGATGCAGCTGGCATTGTCACATCCGAATGATATCTCTGCGGTTGCAGCCGCGTATCCCTTTTTGGACCCCAAGGACGACTTGATTGTCAAGGGTCCTACCGCTGAAGAACCTACTATCCTACGTTTTCCGCGGGAAGACATCCCTTCCAAAGAGGCTGTTGTTGCTTGGATCAAAGAGACCAGAAAAGGTGTTGCAAGCAGGGCTGAGCTGGAAAGACTGCCATTTGCCGTCGGCGCTGCTCAGTATGGGATATTCTATTCGGAAATCTTTGACAATAGGTATCTGAATCAACCTGAGTTTCTACCTATGGAGAGGATAAAGGCCGGTGCAAACTTACCTAAGAAAATGTACGTTGGAAGTGATTCGAACCAACAAAGGCCAAGGTATGCTGACATATATAGATGGATCTTGCATGGTGACGATGATACCGTTGTCCATATTCGGGCTTCGCACAAATTTGTTGACTTGGTTCGGGAGAAATTGCCGGAGACTACAATCAGATTTGACATGGCGTCTGGGGAAGATCACGCTTTTGACCTTGTGAAGGCATCATGGGAATTGCATGCAATCGGCGCCATGGAATTTGTGAAACAATCTTGGTTGGGAGACTAATCGATGGACCATTCAACGAGAGAATACACAGTGTTGTTATTTTGCATTCTCAAGACGAGGCATTGGTACTAAAGTGAATAATGTGCAATACACCTCAAAAAAGATCAAACTATGTAACTTGCAGGTCAAGTTGTCAACTCCCTATTAAGTCCTGTAGTATACGGCTTTCTCCATAAAAACTTGAGGAAGGCTTAGGGTAGATAGGGAAAAGTGGCACCACTTTATCATATGCTAGGTGGTGTGAGACATTGAAGTTTTTAGAAACAATTGCTCTTTCCATGTCCAGCGGTTTCCAAGATTCTATTTTCTGTAAAGGAGGAAGGTTAGGGGAGGTTGAAACGGTTCGACGCTAAACAGCTAGCGCCAACTAAGTTTCTCATGGTCTGTGCTGCTGCTCGACCTCGACCCTCACAAAAACAACATCTTCCTGCATCATTCCCTCATATTCCTCTTTATCTTTTCCTCCTCTTCTGGCCCGATATCGCATCATCGTCCGAAATGGTGAAGTATGTCAGTGCTGGCTATGGCAGTGCGGGTTGCATGTTGCCCCCATTGAGAAGTCTTTCGTCTTCCTTCTCCTTGCTATCATTCATTTCCCCGGCAGCCCGGCTATATCTCCCATGGCCACTTCTCCAAGCGGGCGGGTGGACATCCTCCAGTGATTGAATCGGGCAGCGGTCGGTATATTTCTCTTCAAGTTCTAGGGTAAATTTTTCCCAACAATCAGGACAGATATTTGCTCCTGCTTCGATGAGGAGCGAGACAACCTCAGTGTTGGTCGATCCAGACATGGGATGCTTGTGTAATGGTGACATTTTCGACCAATCTTCGATTTCAAGGTTGGGCTTTGCCTTGAGAACAAGCTTCGTAATCCCGGGCCCAGCTCTTGTTGCAGCATGTAAAGGCGGGTCGCACTCAAGTGATGCTATATGATTTATGTCTGCTGCATTTTCGAGCAGGAAAGCCACCATCGTCACGTCCTTACGTCTAATGGCACATACCAACGCGTATGGCCTATCATCTATCTGCTCTGAAATGCTTCCATACTCAATTAGTACCTTCACTACCTCGAGGTGCCCACACAGGACAGCTGTAGACAATTGCGGCACCGCGCCATATAAGGCCCCGTTCTCAAGCAATAGCCGAACCACTGCTGCGTGCCCTGCTTTGACAGCCATGAAGATTGCAGTATTTCCACTGTTTGACCGGCAGTGAACATCCCCACCAGTTTCTAGAAACACCCTTGCAAGCATTTCAAGTCCTTCTCGAGCAGCTAAATGTAACGCAGTGAGGCCCTGGAACTTGGTTTTGGCTTGAGGTGAGTCCGCCGCATGGGAAATTAGTACCCTAACCTTGCTTTCATCGCCGCTTTTCGCTGCTTCACGAACTTGTTCAAGAGCTTGAAGACGCCTTTCATTGTCATTCATCGCCGGCATCACTTCTT